ATGCTGCTAAAAAAGTTTTTGTTAAAAAAATTATTTTTGACAATTTTTCCTTTTAGTTTCTTCTCAAATCTAATTTTCTCCTTATCCAACTTAAAGATAAAAGTTTTGGTGAGTTGAGTTGGGTCTTTGGAGCAAAAATATGTAAGAATTATTAAAGTAATGAACAAAAGTTAATAATATGTTTTTCTATTAAAGTATAAGTAAATTTTGTATTTTAAATTAAAAATAAACTAAAATATACAAAACTCATGAGGCAATTATATATAATCCTTTACTTTTAAAAGTTTATTTTTTTTTACTGCAGACCCTCCCATTATTATTTCTTAGATGTCTTGCTAATAAAAGCTACCATGCCTTATTAAGAAAAGATAGGTTGGTATTAGCTTAATCCGTCAATTCATATTTCTTAGGTTAATATTTGAAAAACTACCATGTCATATTATGCCTTCAAATGATAATGATGAGTACGATGTGCCTTCTTCTCTCGAGTCACACGTAAATGGATCGTGCAACATTAGCAAATAATTGAAAAACAGGGTAAAGGTGAATTTTTAATCCTTCAAGTATTTTTTGAGAAACATCAAACATCATAAACTATTAATAGGAGCAATTTTATCTCATTATTACAAAATATATATTTTAAAATGTTTCTTTAAAAGTGTTTAATAAAAAAACACTATGAAAAGGTGAGGTGAAACATATCGAAATGCTTTCTTAAAAAAATATTCTTATATATCAAGCCTTTAGGAGCGCTGGTAGAGTAAAATAAAAAAAAATTAAAAAAAATATTTATATCCTTTAAGAGTGCTCTTTCAAAGAGCGCTCCTAAAGGACTAACACTTTTGGAGTGCTTCAAAAGAGTAAAGTAAAAAAATTAAAAAAAATATTTATATTCTTTAAGAGTGATTAAAGATCTAATCCTTTCGGAGTCTTCTTTTAAAGAGTGCTTCAAAAAAGTGGAGTAAAAAAAATTTAAAAATATCTATACTTTTTTAGAGCACTCTTTCAAAGAGCACTCCTAGAGAGATAGCTCTTTCGAAACACTCGTTTAAAGAGCACTTCTAAAGAGTAAATTAAAAAAAATTTAAAAAAATACTTAAATTTTTAAGGAGCACTATTTAAAGAGCGTTCTTGAAAAATAAACCATTTTAAAATACTTTTTAAAAGGGCACTTCGGCAAATTATTATTTTTATAAATTTTGAGTCTTCCTAAATTCGCATATCAGATTTTACCTTCCCCTATGAATAATCTTTCTTCCTCTCTCTCACTATTGTGCCATCCATTCGCAGAAGCCATCGTCCCATCTCCATTCATCTTCCGTGCATCCTTCACTTCCATCCTCTATCAATACATGTTCAAAGTTTTATCATTGCCGTTGAACTACATTCGAAATCGTAGATCTATACTTTAAAATCATAGATCTACGTTTTTAAATAGCAGATCTGTGTTGTAGCTTCATCGATGCTACAGTTGTGTCAGAGTTACCTGTCAACTTTAAGAACCTACCGCCATCACCTCTAATTTAAAAAGAATGATGTTCGTCTGCCGTTCATCCGTCCGAAAAAGGCTACCAAAAGTATCTTTTTAATTAATATTATAATAAATTATTATATAAATTTTGAAATAATTTAGATATAAATATATATAGATAATCTGGGATTGAAATTTTTTATATTGGAATTATGCAGAATTTGAGGTTGATAATTTCATGATTTGGTTGTCACTGTAGATAATCCGAGAATTGATATAAAAGACAAAACAATAAATTGCAGATCAAAAAGCGGGGGCTCATTATTTGGTGCTTTGTGGTTGACTTCGACGGAAAAAATGATAGGAATATAAGATAAGGAAAAACTTTTTTGATCGACAGTACCATAAAAAGCTTGAAACACAGAAATCACTCATATTTCACTTGAACACAACAGCCATTACCTTCCATTTTAGTCAAAATCAATGGTACAATTTTAAATTTAAATCATAAAGATCACGCTTGATAAAATATATTTTTGTTTTTGCTTTATAAATTTCAATAACTAATACTCATATTCACATTGCTATAGATTCTATCCTAGCTCCAAATCGTTCAAGCTTCGTTAGTTTAATTTAAATCACAAAATTACTTCATGTGATGATTCAATGAACTAGAGAACATGATTTATTTTGAAGGTAAAATTTAATCATAGGGCAGAAAATATTAAATTTTGAAAATAAGATACTAAAATTTATACACTAAAGTTTATAATTTTCTCTAAATGAGGAGATGTATTTGCTTGCTCACCTGTATGAAAGGAATTCTAAAATCTCACTATAAGTCCAAGATATTCAATTGAAATTAAATTTTGTGATGCAATTATTAAAAGACCCTTATTCATTAGAAAAAACCACCACCATGAATATGCTATTTTGGATTGGTGTAGAACTTTTGAAAAATGTTGAAAGGTTCAAGATATAAGGAAGACTCCATTGGATTTTTGCCAATAAATCAGAATTATATATATATATATATATATATAATTTCATCTCTAAAGTTTTAGTAATTAAGTTAAAATTTATTTCTATCATATTTGAATGATGATGATATCTTTTATTATTTTATATGTACCTACACAAATACAAAGTTTGAGAGTATGGATACTATGTGATAAAGTTTTTGAGAAAAGTAATCACACAACAAGAGTTAATTGTTCTTGAAAATATAAGCCAAGTGTTTTAAAATTAAATTAATATAATGTTAATCACTTATATGTTGCTTTCATTTCCATATTGTAGTATTTTGCAGGAGCAAAATCCTCACATTTTAACATGGATCAAATAGAAGGTATAATTGAGAAGTGATCAAAATATATAATTGATTATTTGTGATGGGTAGCTAGCTTTTAATGTTAAAAAAATACTAATAATTTCATTTGTTAGATTAGCTAGAGATTAGGCTAGTTAGGAAATTGAAGTAGTTGTTTTATTTTTAAGTTCTTTTATTGTATATGCAATTTTTTATATTTAATAATATTATTTTTGAATTAATTTTTAATATTGGAATAAGTCATTTGTAAAAATACTAAAAATTTTTTAAAAAATTTAAATAATAAAAAAATAAAAACAACATACGAGAGTACTTAAATAAAACTGCCATATGGGAGCACTCCCATATGTAGGCACATAGGAGTGCTTAGACAAAAAGTACTCTCATATGCCCTAAGTTTGTATATATAGGAGCGCTTTTATAAAAAGCGCTCCTATTGGCCATCTTTATGGGAGCTTTATAAAGCTTCTCGTATATATGAGAGCGCTAGCTATATAGGTGCGCTTTAAAAGCGCTCCTATAGCTTAAAAATAAGCGCTCTTATAGCTTAAAAATAAGTGCTTCTGTAAGATTATTTTATAGTAGTACCTTTAAAGTAATTAAAACAAGATATTTTTTTCCTTATCGTTAAATTTATTAACGGTTAACGTTGGAGTCCCAGTTAGTATTTTCTAACCATCAATGTTGAAAATTTGATGGCAAGGGTAAAAATGTATCATTTTAATTACTTTAAGGATAAAATTACTTCGACTAATAATTTAAAGGATTGAGTGCTACTCGAACAATACTTCAAGGGCATATGTAATTTTTAAGTCATTTTTTATAATTTTATAAGTCAACTATTATTAAAGTCAACTGTTCAATGTGAGGATGCCTATTATACCATTTTTAAATGTTGAAGAAAAAAATTATACATGTATGTTTAAAATATCATATACTCTTAAATGAATAGTCAAATGAAATTCTTTAACTTGATCATATAATTTATATGTAATGGGCTAGGCATGGCCCATCAGTTCATCACGGTGCATGAGCAAACATGAATGATTGAACCAATTGACACAACGATTGGCCTCCGTATATATTTTCACCGCTGTGCCTAGTATATCTGGAAAAAGTTGAATGACAAATTAGAAATTTAACTCTTGTTTTTTTTTTTTGAGTGAATGAAGGTTCTAATTAGTATCACTAATTTTGTTATAGTCCCTCATTTTTTTTAAATTAAAAATTTAAAAATTACTCATCATTCTTTATTGAAAACAACTACTTCTTCCATTAAAAAATATAAGACATTTTTTAAGAAGTTGAATGTTAAAAAATGTAAGGTATTTTTAGTCTTCCGAAGTGTAAATATTATTTTTTTAAGTATTTTTATTGATAATGACTTTATATTTATTGTAGAGTATTTTATATGAAAAGATAGAATTAGTTAAAAAATAGATAATTACTTTATTGAGAGATGAGGTTCGGTTAAAAATGCCTTATATTTTTAAACAGAGGGAGTAAATTATTAAGTTTTGTTTTTAACAAGTGGATAAATTAGCCCACTGATCCAAACAATTTGTGCTCAGAAAATATGAATCAAATTTTTTAAAATTTGAGAATATGATTGGTTCACGTTAATATACAAATAGTTTATCATTAATATATAAGATATTTATCATTAAAAATTTAAAAATTTATAAGAGATTTATTATTAATATATAACATTATATTATTGATAAATATAATAAATATTGAATTATTTGCTTAGTTTAATTGTATAACATGAAGTATAACATGGACTATATGTCTATATTTGCAAATAGGCTATCATGAAAATTGTATACGCGTGCATGCATACATATATTTCTAAATTAAATTAATAAAAATTAATCATTGTTAATAACAATAAAATTACCAAACTGAAAATAATAATATTTAATAATTTAATACTTATAAATTCAACATTAATAAATAAAATAGAATCAATAGAAAAATTTAGACTTTAACGCCTTGGGTCCAATGATTTTCTTTTTCGCCAAAAATCTATTGTTCAAAATTTAAAAATGAAGTTTATTCAAATTCAAATTTAACGGTAAAGAATTAAATTATAGATGACGATTACTCAAATGTTTCCGTTGAACAAAATTTCCGCTGGGGCTCTGTTTTGAAAAAAAAAAAAAAGAAAAAAAAAATTGAGGGGCTTTTTATTTCCCTAATCATGCATGAGTAGTACAGAGTGATTCTTCACACTGGCCTCCTGCACAAGCTTCATATCGCAACAGAAGCCAAGCGACAGAGTCTCTCATGCCTTGTTCATGGAAAAAAGCAAGGAGCAATCCGTAGCCTCAGTAAGTATTGTTGCTTCTCTTCATTTTGGTCGTCCAACAAATTTTCATTAATTGAAGACTGTTGTTGCTTCTCCTATTTCATTTGCTTAAAGGTTCCGCTCGAGCTTCTTGAAATCGAAGTTCGGAGGTCTGGAGAGAACGACAGAAGGGATCCGACGCCGACGGAGAGGCATTGGAGTTCGGTCGGAGGCCGGTGACTTGATGGACGAAGATGACGGGGCCAACTCGGACGCTTTTGCGTTTCTCCATGCTCCTCTTCTCCCATAAAAATCTGAACATAAAAATTGTGTCGCATCACGAGGAGTCTACACCCTGACTGAGAAATCTCTACGTTTTCCTTTTCCCTTAGCGACGACGTCGGTGAAGTTTGCAATTAATGTCTTCCTCCATACACTGTAAGCTCTCTTTTGGTCACTAACACACCTTCTCAAAGCCAGGTTTGATTGACCGTTTAGGATCTTGTCAGTTCACTTGTTTATATTATGAGGCTTATGGTTTTTCGATTATTTTGAGTGATTCTTCTGGATTATGTCGAACACACTTGGTCTATGGATCGAATTGTCCACTTTGCTTGATTTCACCTTGCATGCTAAATGGGTTTTACATGGCGATTTGCTTATTATAGCCATATAAGCATGACTGTTGGTTCTGACACGGGGGTTGTATATTGTTTTCGGTGGGTTTACTATTTGCATAGAAGTGTGAAGATCCAAGAGAACAATGAGTTATAAGTTAAGAAACTCTATCAAACTCAGTCAGCTATTATCTTTGATTTTCTATACCTCTTCTATCTCTTATATATCTAGGTAAAGAACAATAGAAAATAGCATTTTAAGAGAGGAGATTTGGGGAGAACAGTGAGTTCTAGGTCAAGAAGCTCTGTGAAACTCACTTAGCCATACTCTTTCTTCAAAACGATCAAAATCTGAGGAACCCTTTTTATAGTGCTTATGGTTATCTTCTATCTTTATTTTGATGTGTAAATCATGTGTCATTCTATGGTTGTTGTTTTGGAAAGGATGCTCACTTTTCTTGCAACTCTGGCAGCCCATTCTATAGTTGTTTTGGAAAGGATGCTCACTTTTCTTGCAATGTCTGGTAGCCACTTTCTTTTCTAATCATGTTTGAACCTTTTTTGTCTTCTTCGAGAATGTGTCTTCTTATTTTAATGAGCTTTTTTATTTGCTCATACATTATAGGAATAATAGTTTATATTAATAAAAAAATAAAATAATAGTTTATAGTTTATGCTAATTGATTATCTCATTGCTACGTAAAAGACCTGTGGAAACACTATTATCAGAGCGCAATGTTTTAAAAACTATAAGCGAAACTTACCAATGTGTGCTCTGGAAAACTAAACCTACCAAAAAGCCTTCTGTTTTATTCATGGGTTTTTTCACACACACACACACACACACACATTAAATTTTAAGGCCTAATGCTATGATAGGCTAAATAGGTTAAATTAAATCATATCATAAATCTAGATACAAAGATTTTTGGAACTGGAATTGCTGCTTTTTTAATTCACACTTTTGTAACTGGGATTCTTGATGCAATCAAGAATTAAGAGGAGAACCAGACATGGAAAAGAGATGAGGGCACTGTTGGTTGTTGAAAATTTTTGATTTTGCAATTAATGCTTCAACAGACATGTTCAACATGGAAGTAGCCCCAGGGTTGCTTCTCCAGTAACGTGGTTTAGAGGAAGAATGTAGTTTCAATTTACCATGCCTTGTCTGTTTTTCAGAGGGGTTAGCTGTGTTTTGGGTGTCTAACTGCGTTTTGAGCTTCCAAAATGAAGATCTACACATAAGCTCAAGGCGTGTATGTGTATTGAATTACCAAAACGATATAGGTGTAAATCTACAATTGATTTTATGTAGGATATGGATGCAATTTGAATGCTAACAGTGATATGACATGTCTTTAAATCTTCAATTGAAATGTTGTCCCTGGAATTTTTTTGGTTAGGAAGAATGTGGAATCTTAATTTTTAATTATATTGTAGTAGTACTTTTTTCTTTGTTGTTCTTGAATGTGGCCATAAGGAAGGCAACAAATAAATTTGAATATTCCTCTTTGTTTTTGCTGGAATGTTGATTCTGTTTTAGTTGAGGAAAGCGGAGGTAAGTATTGTGATCCAATTATAATGATGTATAGATAAATGAAGTACTGACAGTGTATAGGATAACCTTGAAAGAGCAGTTGATGATGGTGTGAATACTTATAAGGTAATTTCCTAGGCTATACTTCCATAATTGTGATGTTCTGATTTTTGAGATTATTTATTATATTGCTTCTATTTTGAATAAAACTTTTGATTTTCAAGGTTCCTTTTTCCTCCCTCCTACCCCACAAAAGAAATGTATAGTTTGAACAATAATAAGTGCTTTTATATGTGTAATTATTTGTCAGGCCGTGTGCTGGGATAGCCGTAATGTACCTGGGGCTGCGGCAACTGAAATTAACTTAGGTAGAAAACTGATGGAAATATCCTTCAAGAAGAAATGGTACTTTACTTTTCCCTTGCCTAGGTTTCACTGTTAAAGAAAGATATTGTTATCCCTGTTTCTACTTACATGAATATGACTAAATACATTGCAATCATATGGCTTGTCTTCCTTCTAGGGATCATGTGATATGCACCATACATAAGTAAAGTTTTTCCCTTAAACAACCAAAGGCTTGATGATTTAGTTAGGAAACCAATGCAACAGTAACACCGGCCTTTCTAGTTCCGCTTTTGACTCCCCTATTGCCACCAAGGATGGGTTCGCTCCTCAGCGATGTGAGTTTCTTTTTTCCCTTGATTCTTCCCAAGCTGTGCTTGTGCATAAATATTTTAGCCCATGTATGAATACCTCGGTGGTTTGTGCTTTTAGAGAACTGGACGGACAATGTTGTGCATAATTTGAAATTGGCAATGTTCGTATCTATTTGTAAAGCTTGCTTATTATATAGCTTTTGATAATCCTGGGTGACATAATGTATTTTGGAGCTTGAGTTTTGATCAGAACTAATGATTTTAGGTGTGAAACGAAGGTATTGAGTTCACCTTTTGTTCTCACATCCGGAACCCTATCCTATCCATAGCAAATATAGAGAGATTTAAGTGCAAGGAACTTCCTTTTGATGGGTCTCTTCTATATATATATAAAAGAACATGCTTTGTTACCGATGTTCAATCTCAGCATCCTTGGCCCTTACAAGGATGGTAATGCAACAAGAGAGTGTGAAACAAAATGAATAGTAGAAAATAGCATAGAAGTTTGAAGATCCGAGAGAGCAAGGAGTTCTAGGTGAAGAAACTCTATCAAACTCATTGAATCATTATCTTTGATTTTATTTGCCTCCTCTATCTCTCTTATATCTAGCCATGTACACATAATGCTACTATGGAGAGGTGAAACATAATAAACAATAGATAATACTTCCTCCAGTCCTATTTATAGGATATTTTCTAAAAGTAAATTTTGGTCCAAAATGTAGGCACTTTGTAATAATTAAATCATTTTTTTTAATTTTACCCTTTATTGATTAGCGAGAAGATATCTAATCTAATTGTATTATAATTTAAAGTCAAAGGTAAAAATAAAAATACATTTCATTGTTTTATGATACTAGGAAAAAATAATTTTTCTTAAAATGCATGAAACGATTAAAAGTATCTTTCAATAAGGATCACAACGAGTATCTTTTTAAGAGTAGAGATTTGGGGAAAAACTCGTGTTTTAAGAATAGGGATTTATGTCAAGAAACTCTTTCTTTGAAATTATTAAAATCTTAACAATCCTTGTTATGGAGCTCATTTAAATTATTAAAATCTTAAGAATCCTTTTTATGGCACTCATTGTTCTCTTCTCTCTCATCTCTTCTCTCTTATTAGATGTAAATCACATGTCATATTGTGGTTCTTGTTTTAGAAGGGATGCTCACTTTTCTTGCAATGTTTGGCAACCACTTCACTTACTAATCATGTTTGAACCTCTTTGTGGCTTCTTTTAGATTGTTTCTTCTTAGTTTTGAATGAGCTTTTTTACTTGTTCCTTGGACATCATAAGAATCATAATTTATGCTAATTGATCATCTATATGTATTGCTCCCGATTGAAATGGTTGAACAATATTTCCTTTAAATTTTGACTTGCTGTGTAGATGATTAATTATTGCAATGATATCTGATGGGTTTGAATGAATACATTTTTTTAGTCTAGAACAATTGCTATGGAATATAAATTGCTCCTTATGCGCTCTTTTAGGTTTAAACACTCACCTATAACTCTAACATATACACTATCTTATATTCTAACACTCTTCCTCAAGTTGGAGCATAAATATTAATCATGCCCAACTTGTTACAAAGATATTCAATTCGAGCCCTATCAAGAGCTGTTATAAACAGATCTCCACTTCTATGATGCCCTATAGAGATGAAATTCTCTTGAATCTTATCATGAACAAAATGACAATTAATCTCAATATGTTTCATACATTTATGAAACACGGGATTATAGGCTATGTGTAGAGCAACTTTATTGTTACACCATAACTTTGCTGGTAATGATGTTTTGAGACCGACTTCCTTCAATAGTTGATAAATCCATACCACCTTGCAAATTGATTGTGCCATAGCCCTATATTATGCTTCTGCACCCAATCTAAACACTTCATTTTGCTTATTGCTCCTCCATAAAACTAAGTTTGCTCCTATAAATACATAATATTCAATGCCATAGCCTAGTAGCTTTGGACCCATCACAATTTGCATCATAGAAACACTCAATATCAGTATGACCACAATTACTATACAATATGCCTCAACTTGGGGTCTCTTTCAAGTAATATAATACATTCTCTAAAGCTTCCAAGATGCCATAAATTGACTAAGCACATTGACTGGATAGGTAATATTAGGTTGAGTCATTGTGAGATAGTTCAGCTTCACCATGCAATTTTACTATGATAATCTAATATGTCCTTTTAGGTTTTCCAAAAGGTGCACTATTATCAGTATCAAGGTTTGGATTATAGATCATAGGAAAATTCCATGGTGAAGGTCTTAAGCTTTCTTATTTCTTTTAACAAATTGAGGACATATTTTTTGAGTTAGAAGAATGCCCTTCTTAGAAAATATTTTAGTGATCCCAAATCTTTTGTTTAAAAGTGAGAGTGAAGGAAATATTTAAGTGAAGATATACCAAAAGTGTTACTTCCGGTAATTACGATGTCATCAACATACACTACTAAAAGAATTATGACAACACTTGTTCTTCGATAAAACATAAAGTGATCACACTTACTTTCACTTGAACCAAATTTCTAAACCATATTATTGAACTTGCCAAATCAAGCATAGGGGCTTTGTTTCAAGCCATATACAGACTTTCTTAAGCTACATACTTTCCTATGCTCCCTCGAGCAACTAATCTAAGTGGTTGCTTTGGGTAGATTTCTCATGAAGATCACCATGTAAGAAAGCAAAAAATAGCATTTATATCTCATATTTCATTTCATTTCTCAACTTTTCCTTAATCACATAGGATTCCATGTTATCTCAACATATTTCATCATATCACATAACATGCTAGCATGATCTCTACTAACCCAACCTCTAAATCACCCGACATGAAATCATAGGCTTATCTCAGACCAATGTATACTCTTATTAGTCTTGAACTCAACTGCGGTGAAAGAATCACCCAACCAAAGATGTTTTAATGCACAATATGAACTATGATTTCCCCCAATACACACAATGGAGTGTCATTGACTCCAACACTATATCATAAAGACCCTAAGGAGTCTCTCATCTCCAACACCATACCTCAATAGGCCATAAGGAAATCTTGTAACGTCTCACTCCACTAAACACATTTAATAAATCAAGCTCATGGTAATTGAGGGATTATCTCCGAAGAGTGATTATAAATTTTTAATTCAAAAATAAGGGATTCCAAGTTTTCTAAATAGAAAAAAGATAAAAAATTTTCATATCAAAGTAAAAATAAGTTTCGAAAGCATGGGATACTTCAGAGGAGTGAAAAAGTCAAAAATGATTGAAAATATATTATGTTCTGAAATACAAAGCAATGCGTCGCGACGTGATGCACAAAAATCAATTGGTTCTGCTGTCAAATTGACAGCAAAAGTGAGGAACTTCCGACTCGCCTTGATTCTCCATCCGACGTCTGAATGACGTGATCTAGGTGTCTACAAAAAGTTCTTTTCCCGTACTAACTAATGGCACAACTTTTACTTCCAAAACAAGTCACACTAGGAAGTTGGACACCCAAACACATTTTAACCACTTTTTAATAGTTTTACACAAAGTGAGTGTCCAGAACTCTCAACAACTGTAAAAAGCCTTTCCTAACACCTGGACCATGTCTAATAGACCTAAGACTACTAGAACAACACGTTATAAGCATCGAAATATCATTATAACAAAAATTCACTCCTCAACCCCAATTTAACAAAAACAAAGGGGGGAGATAAATTAACATTGCATTGAACTTAAATCAGTCAAAACATGCTCAAATCTTAATTTCTACACTTGCATTAGTATTTTGGCCCTATATACATATATATGATAAAAATACCCAAAGACTGAGGGTTCAAAATACAATTCTAACACTTTTAACAATCAAAATAGTGCAAGTTATTACCTCCTAAAATTGGCAATTTATATGCTATTACACAAATACATCAAAACTAGAGGCATATAAGAAGGAATGTACTAATTCCCTTTATCTTTAGTCTTCTCCCTCTCAACACTAGAGCTAAAGCCTAAAAAATATTAAATAAGAGGGGTGAGTCTAGCCACTAAGTAACCAAGATTAAACCTACCCTATGCAGTTATATATCAATTATAAAACAATTACATGCATAACAAGATCAAATTTATAAAACATTTTCTCATATATCACCTTTTATCATTTATCACTCTATAGCTTCTTTACTCACATAACTAGGTGCATTGTCGCCATATTCTCAGATATGTGACAAGACCTATACTCTTGCAACCTGCCACCACTTAACATGTGTGACACGTCATATATTTACTTAGGCAATGATCAACCAGTCTTATATACTCCTTATTTCCTCAGACTGAAACTGTGGGCTATAACATGAATTAGGGCTTCGTCCGTGTGACTGGACTACCCAAGCTCATCAATTGTGAGGTGTGACTCGGCTAAAGATCACAGGACTTACTCTCGGACTATGGCTTCCCCCATTCTTAAATCCCTAGGGTGTCTCATATCCTAAGTTATTTTCCTCACTGAATCGGTGAAGATAGCTAGGTTCTAATCCCTCGACTAACAGTGGGACAAGGCTATAGCCTTGTGCACCGAAGGATAGCCTAATTACCATATGAATTTTCTCTACTCCTAAATTCCTAGGCAAACTCCCATCACTGATCATGCCATAATCATTACTTGTTCTTACTTTTCACTTTCATACACTCACTATTACAACAATCATGTTGGACTCACGACCTTGCGCTACCCAAGTGTGTATTCTCATCATTTTCTCAAATACATTTCATTACTAACACATAAATACCTCTACACATCATCACATTCATCTTTTAAAAGTATAAGCATTTTCAAGCCAAGAAATGCTTTTTCATGCATTCAATGAAACTCACATATAATTTTTATTTTAACAATCAATTCCATGCATGTAACATTCAAAATCTCACATTCAAAAATCAATTAACCATTAATTATCATACAACTACCTAAAGTAGAGTTTTCCTCCCTTGGTTACCTTAAACCTTTGAGAGATCAAAGGTTTATCCTGCAATCAATTAGTTTCTAAGTTTGGATTTCCACCCAATAGTTGACCAAGGGCCAAAACTACAATCAACTAAATTGAATTCTATCAATACAACAAACTCAAACAATTGAACCCTCAATCTCTACTTCTAAATTGCCCAACCTTCACCTTATAAGAGGTGGAGCCTAACCATTAGGTTTAATAATTACATTTAGCTCCCAATAGCATTAATGAGCCATTAAATTTCTATTAATGGCATCACAAACTTCCAACCACCTATAAGAAATGGAATTTTCGGACATTTATGGTGTCTAACAACCCATGCCACCAAAACTCATCATACGTAGGTTTAAATACTCTAATATGCCCCCATTAATTCCATTTGAGTCAATAAATTCAAACCCATAACCTATATGGACCGAAATCCTACTTCCACTATTTAACCCTAACTATAAACTCATAAATGTGGAAGCAAAAAAGAAATTAATGGGTATGATACTTACCTTGGGTGTTTGTAGCCTTCAAAATACTCTCAAAGTGATCCTTAAACAAACCCTTGCAGAGCATTAGCACGCCTCTCCTTTCTTTTCTTTCTTTTTTTGTCTCATTTTGAGTCTGATAAAGTGTAAAAAATGGTCATGCGCCGTGGCGGACGCATAATGCACCACGACGTATGGCACAGAGAAGTCTTCCCTCACTCAGAGATAGCTGTGCGCCACAGCGGACGATCTACGTGTTGCGGCGTATGGCACAACAACTTCAACTCTTCCTTTTTTTTCTCCTTTTGATGCCCAGGTGGTCTGCCTTGATACTGGACCCACAACTAAGGTTGAAAAAGCATCAAACAAGATTATTAGACCTCTCTAGCCATACACCACTTCAATTTAATTACTCTAATTAGGTTTAATTAATCAGGGAATTAAAACTCAGGATGTTATAGATCTTCTCCAACACTGCACCTTTTAAGGTACTAAGGAAAATTATTTTTAACACCGCACCCTTGTAGGTACTAAGGAAACCTTGCCATATGGTCTTTATCATCTCTTATACTCGGGTGAACTTTCACCTCTATGATCATGCTTTCCCGAACCATTTAAGGTTCCCATTTACCATTTCACACTTTCTTACACATAATATATATAAATAATATTTTACATTACAAAAACACACATTTCAATGCTTATTTCAACCAAAAGTCATTTCACACACAATAATTACTCAATGCTATAAAACATGCTCAATTTAAAACTGTTCCATGCACTACATAGTATACTAACATACAGTTACAATAAACAGTCAAACAAAGAAAGTTATTCAGTTACCTCAACCCTTCTGTCACTAAAAAGGTTACTTGTGAATTTCAACTATCACTCAAGCTTCCTTCCTCCACTCATACATCCAATATGTCAATTTGAACACATTTAACACATTTTAGTCATTTAGTCCATTTCGACCAAAAACTCATTTTTACTACTTAGGGTTATTTTCATTCATAAACTCTTTTTCATTTATCTATTCTAAGTCTATGACTGCCCAATTATTACTTCACATCACCTCAACCAGTCTTATTTCACTCAAATCAGATTTTTTGCCCTAACGTTCTCTTTCTAAGGATTAAAATTGAGCCTACAGGTTTAAAGCTCTACTGTTCAGCTTTAAACCAGTCATAAAGTTCTAATTTAACTTTCAAGAATCTTTTTATTACTATTGAGCAAGAATCAAACCCTTTAAATTTCCTCGATTCAATTTTCCTATAATTCATTTTCAAAAAAATTTATGTAGAATGGAAGGTAAGAGTAATACGTAGCTTACCTGACAAGTTATTAATCCGAATCACCTTTCACTGCTCCAAAATGGCTTGACTTAGTTTCTCAGCCCTTCTCCTCTCTTTATCTCATGTGTTCCTCAATTTTAATCCTCTAAAATTTTTAAAATTTTATAATTTATGAAGGTAATTTTTTCGTCCATATGCCGCAGCGCATGCAGCACAAGCAGCGGCATGTGGCACAATGAGATTTATTCTCACCACGCGCACTTACTTCAGCCTGAAATGCACTATTATCGCCTGTATCTGCTCACACAACACACAAACAAGTCAAAATATCAATTTATCATCTAAATCTCTAATCCCATACTAACTTTCACTTCATCCTCGATTAACTTCTAAACTTATGATTAAGAAATTGAGGATGTTACACATTTACCAAGGACCAAGTCACCTCCTCCATTATAGCACACCAACCTAAGTGAGATAAGGCTTCATGAACAATTTTGGGTATGGAAATAGTATCAAAGGAAGCAATAAAAGAGGACCTTTTATGTATGCTTCATGGATAAAATTGACCCTTAACCCATTAATAAAAATAATGTGGAACCCACAAGCAATATTTTATAATAAGAAACATTAAAACAATTCATGTGGGATCCACATAACGATAAGTTAACACCAAGGTAAGGAAGCAATGATTTTTTGAAGTTGAGAAATATAAATGACTTATAGTTGAATTTAAGGTCATTTATGACCCTTCACGCTTGAGATGGTTAAAGTTGAGTCATATTAGTCTGATTCACGCTTGACTCCTGATTTAAATATTTTAGTCCAGGCACTTAAACCAAACTTTCTGAAATGCCAATTCATGTGTGCATGCTACTAATTCAGACTTGAATTGATTGTTACTCTAGACTTCACTTTAAATGAATAAATCACTTAAGAATTAATGTGAGATCTTGTATAACATATTAAAGCATGAAATTAAACATAAGTTTAAGGATTAGAGATACGTTACAACTCATTGAAATTTAAGATTCAACATTTTAATATGATGGTGAATTGTTCCTCAGTCAAAAGCTTTGTGAATATATCAACCAATTACTCTATTATTGGTACAAATTCTAGTATTATATCTTTCTTTTGCACATTTAGGGTTTTTATTATACTATCTGTACAATTATATATTCCTTTTCCTAAACATTCTTTGTCTACTTCTGCGTCTAAGGTTTAGCCATTAACTTATTCTTCTATGTTTAAAATTCTATCTACTTATTCTTCTTGTATGTTTCAAATTAGGTTTTACTGCTATCTATATCATTCCTATATGCATCTAGTTATATTCTTTTTTGTATTTTCTTATAATTTCTTCGGGTATCATATTATATTATCTTTTTCTCTCACTAGACTTCTAGCTCTATGACACACGCTACTATAGGGTCTTTGTTTGTTTGAAGGTTAATGACTTGTTGATATGTTTGTAATGAATCAAGGTATTGAGGAGCATAATCTACAATCCTTAAGGGTTAAGATTTTGACTTTTGAGAGTGGATGGCCATATTAGTTGATTGGGCTTTGAATTTTCCCTATAAGAATTCTCTAATTAAAAAATTTGGTATAGAATTTTTTTTCCATTTATAATTGTATTTCAAAATTGGAACAAGACAAAATTGCTTGTCATCTGATGAAGATTTGTTTTGGAACTAAGTTTTGCTACTTTACAATTCACTTTTACTAAAAAAAAATAATTTATCAAATCATTTGAAAACACACAAAATAATAGATAAAATTTCTCTTTTGACAGTGAAATTTGCTATTAAGCCTTTGTTTATCCTCCTGAGTGGAATTTAACTATTTTTTTTATCTCCATCTAACTGTTTTAGGATTTGCAAGAACTCCTCATTGATCTAGCTATCGTCTTCACAAGGCAAAGTCTTACTATCATAATGGCTCTGATACCATTTGGTATCAACCTAGAGTACGTGATCAAGGCCATCTTAGGATAAGAGCCTACATTTCATCACAGGGCGAGGTCTTACTATCATAATAGCTCCAATACCATTTGGTCCACGTGGCAAGTTCATCACTGTGACAACCTAGAGTACTTCAAAACAACATTTTACACTTGTGGCCTCTTGACAACAGCAATCTATCATCAAACCTTACCTGACTAGGCCATCTTGGGGATAAGATCCTACATTTTGTCACACTATCATGCAGTGAGAACTTTCTATAAAGGCTGCCTCTTCATAAGATTAGGTCTTCCTATCATAATGGCTCTGATATCATTTAGTATTAATTCAGAGTATGTAATTGAGTCATCTTAAGATAAGAGCCTACATTTCATCACAAGATGAGGTCTTACTATCATAATGGCTCTAATACTATTTGGTCCATATGAAAAATTCAAATTCATCGTTGTGACAATCTAGAGTACTTTAAAATAACTTTTTACACTCGTTGCCTCTCGACAATAGCAATCCATCATCGCACCTTACCTAACTGGGCCATCTTGAGGATAAGATATTATATTTCGTCACATTGTCATGTAATGAGAACTCTTCATGGAGGCTATCACTTCACAAGGTAAGGTCTTTCTACCATAATGGCTCTGATACCATTTAGTATCATTCTAGAATATGTGATTGAGTCATCTTGAGATAAAAGCCTACATTTCATCACAAGGTAAGATCTTACTATCAAAAATGGCTCCAATACCATTTGGTCGAGGTGGCAAGTTCATCGCTATGACAACCTAGAGTACCTCAAAATAACTTTTTATGCTCGTTGCCTTTTAACAACAGCAACCCATCGTCTGACCTTACCAACCAAACCATCTTAAGATAAGAGCCTACATTTCATCACACTATCATGTAGTGAGAACTCCCTATGGAGGCTTCATAGGGTAAGGTCTTACTATCATAATGATTCTGATATCATATGGCCCTTGACATGTGGCAAGTTCATGATAACCTAGAGTACCTTAGAATTACTTTTTATGCTCGTTACCTCTTGACAATAGCAACACATTGTTGAACCCTGACCGAGAATATTAAGGCATTAGATAATTCTATTCTTATAACATTAATGAATTTTTTTTTATTGATAATATGTAGATAGTTAGAACTCTCTATTCATTTATGATTGTGTTTCTAACTCTATTTTCTTCAAAATTTTTATCTTTACTTCTAGATGTTTTTGCCTAATAGTAGCCGTGGAATTTTAGGATAAAATCTACTCCCATTAATTTATATCCTATATTGGAATTGTCTATAGATTGTCTTAGAATTACTATAGATATTTGTTCTCTTATCCAACAAGAGGTAGATCAACTTAAATTTTTTTTTTTAAATTTTCTTTATTATAAGGTCAATTTCCTAATTTTGGGTTGGGTATATGGATTTCACTATGCTTTATTCTTTGTTGGATTATAACTGAGGTTTCAGTATTGTGACTCCTTTCTTCATAATTAAAAATAATTCAGAAAATAAGAATCATAATAGATTAGTCCTAATCTTAAATTAAGTTTTACTTCTAATTATTTCATTCTTATATGTATTCATATTTTCTTATAATTGCTTCTGGTATCATATAAATATAGTCTTTCTATGGTTTTTGTTACATATGAAAAAAAATCAAAATTTCTTTATTAGTTTGTTAGTATTTCTTGTAAATTTACTAAAGTTATTTATGATCCTATAGAAATTTGACTATTCTTAACTTGTTTTTTTCATCTTCTATTCTCCTTTTCTAGGATTCAAATCCTATAATTTTACTAAACCAACTCTATTTCTATAGATTTTATTTCATAAGCTTCAAAATCTGTCACGATTCAACATTAAGTAAAAGAAGATTTTTATAGCCAAATAAAAAATCCACAAGGTACTAAATCCATAAATTATCGTGACCAATTATTTTGATTAAATCCTTCTAGTTCAAATGCTTTCATATTTTTAGACTAGTAAAGAAAAAACTCCCTCCAGAGGTGAAAACTAATTTTAAAGAAAATGAAAAGCCTCTGAAGGCGATGGAAGGATATGAGAAACACCACCTTCTCCTACAGTAAATTATTTGATAAGAAGATTTCGAGTCAAATGGTGGAATAAATATAACCAAGTGTTTGGAATGGTAGAAACTAAAATATGTAGCAACAAAAAAAAAATGATCTGATTTAGTAAAATTATAGGATCTGAATCCAAAAGAGGAGATAGAATGAGCTTAAATGAGAATTGTTAGATTTTTAGGATGTCTAAATTACATGGCAAACTTCCTTCCAAAGATAAGGATAATAGCCATACTTTTTAAAAGATTACAGAAAAACACTCCAAAATGGACAAATGAAATGACAAAAATAGAAGAAAGTAAAACAACAAGTCAAAAGCCTTTAAAATAGTATAAAAAATAGTCACATATTCCACTATCAAAAAAGAAATTTTAACTATCATTTTGTGCGTTTCCAAAAGATATTTTACAAAATGATGTAAAAAAACAAGATGGCAAGCAATTTTATCCTATTTTGATTTTGAAATACAGTTTTTCTGAATAATTCTATACCAAATTTTCTGACAAGAGTTGCAAGGAAAATCTTCTTTTCAAAATGGGAAAAGCCATACATTCAAAAGATAAAGGAATAGCCAAAGCTAGTACAACTATCAACTCCTCAAAAGACAAAAATCACAACCATTAAGGATTATGCTTCCCAATCTCTTGAATCATTACAGACATATCAACAAGTCATTATTAACCTTCAAATAGACAAAGTTTACCTTCAAATAGAGCTAGAATTTCATAGAAAAAATATAAAAGAAGGACTATTTCCATTACGATTCAACATGAGGGAGAATGTTTTTCCATAAAAATCCAACTTGGTGGCTTAAATTTAGAATGACCAGTTTTGCATGGTTCAATATTTCATATTATAAAGAGTTATGCACATTTTTAGTTTTTCTAGTTCAATTGGGATTTCTCAAATAATTTTTCAAAATGGTTCCATATCTTTAGACCAATAAAGAAAATACTCCCTTCAAAGGTGGCGAAAGGATATGAATGTTTTGAGGGTACCAGGGTATTATGGGCAAAGAGCTTATACTTTTCAGTGATAAAAAATAAAACAGGTTTTCATTTTTTTTAAATATGTTTTTTCTTTAAAACATTCATTATATAATAAATTGTGTGCTAACCCTCTCTATGGAGGTTTCCATCCTTAAGAGGAGAGAATGGTAAAGCATATGTATGAATGTAAATGTTACAAATGCAAGAGGAGTTGGTGCCTAAGAGGTAGAAACCATAAGGTAATGATGCCCTCATATTGCGAGAGATGATAATGGACATTAGGCAGAAGTGGAAGATGGTGAGAGAACATGACACTGGTGAGGAATAGGGTATGGAGACAAAGTAGTAAAATAGTGGTGAATGAGAGGAATCATGAAGAGCATATAAGCAAAAGAGGCATACGAGGAGAGTATGCCAGATCAGTATGGGGTTTCAAGAAGTAGACTTAAGCAATAGTAGGTGATAATTCTAGGGCTTACATTGATTGTGTGTAGAAGTCCTTTTCTTGACTTTTGATGGGAGCTTGAAGGAGAAAGAAGCTGAGAAGTGGATCAAGAGGTTGGAGACCATCTTTAAGGTGGTGACCTACTCCTCTAAGGAAAGGTGACAATAGGTATGGTAAGGATCACGCTCCCATTAGTTGTCAACAAAGTTCCTATCAAAGGATTAATGTACATGTATAGCTAGTGTCTAGCTAGGCAATTCTAGTTGTAGGAATCCCTTTTTTCCCATAGAGAGTTAGGATTAATCAAACAATTCTAGCATGAAGATATATATATCCCTAAGATTTCTAATGTTGCTCCATAAAGGTAGCTTGAAGACAACACTGTTCAAGCTTAAAAGTTTGGACAACTTATTATTTAGGGTTTAGGGATCTAATACCCCTAGTAAAAGAGTTGGTTTTATGGGGTGTAAGGACTAAGAAGAGAAGGTCTATCTTGGATATGAGCATCTTCTGCTACCAGATTTTTTATCTTGTTAGAGGGGGTTCTACTAAAAAAAGGTTGAAGAAAGTCAGATTGGTTTAAAAGAACTAGATTCTAGTATCTTACTCATTTTTATCAATAATATATTCCGTCTATTAATGAGATAAGGCTTTCATTCCATGGGGACGGTCAAATGCTACAAACCTAGAGATGCTTATGTGTCTCCCAGGTAAAGCCTCTCAATGCCACTCCTAGGCAAACATGGTCACTTTAGGATCCCCAAGCCCTTAATATAGCCCATGAATCTCTAAACATAGTAACATGCCTCACAATCATGGATTGTGGTCACATTTTTTCTAATGTACAGGTTTCTTAAAGAGGCAAAGGTCAAACTTTCAAGAGAGAGGAGAGGATTTAGATGAGAGAGATATAAGAAAAATACACTGAGTCTTTTCAAGTGTGACGTTCCTAGGAAAACATGCCACTTATTCTTATTTTCTTAGTAGACAATGCTTATAAATTCTGTCCAACACAACTCAAGCTCCCTTTTATAGATGAAGGGAGGAGAAAGATAACATACATAGAAAGATTATCTTTGATACTTATATGCTTAATTTTCCAAAGGAAAAAGAAAAAGAAAACATGCCTGTTAACTTTTCTAAAAGTAAAGCGGACTTAACTAAAGCCAAAACTACGTCAAAAGTTAAAGTAAGCTTTGACAAAAGTGAAAGTAGATTCTGACGCATGATAAAGGATAAGGCTTCATTACTTCATATGCTTGTAGATATACTCTTGATCATATGATAAGTTGGAATGTTGACTTTATTTTTTGACAGTGTCATGCTAAGCTCTCCCTTTCCTATTATGCTTCTATGTCCTCTTGCTCCTCAAACTATTCTAGAGTGAAAGAATCTCTTGCTAAAGGAAGTATCTCTTATGTGGATCTTGACTTTGAGATGGTTTGTTTCATCTATGGAGGAAGTGTCTCAATAAGCCTCATAAGTTAAGAAAGCTTGTTTCATTCATGTAGAATATCATAACTCCATAGCAATGTCTACAACCTAAATGAGTACCTAAAAAATGCAAGCAGCACAATCTTATTGATAAATGAAGCAGATAGGAATTCTTTGAGACGAAGTGTTACTTATTAGATCAAAGAGATCTACAAAAGCATTTTCAATAAATGTCTAACAAGGTACTACATGTTGAATGGCTACAATGATGGGAACCTTAGATATACGTTCATTTTTTCAATACCAAAATGAATTACAATCAGAATTGCATAAAGCCATCAATGCTAGCTCTTTCTACTTTAAATAAACTTTGTGAATAGCAAAGATTCTGCAAGTCAAAATTCTTAAAGGAAGAACTTGTAAGAAGTCTTACTTAAATATTAAATGCAAGGACCATGATTAATGTTCTTGCAAAAAGAAACTTCACATCTACAAATACAAGTGTCAAAAGGATTTTAATAAGAAGAAGAAGACCTCAAAGTCAAAAAATCTATATTGATGTTTTCTCTGTGGACAAAAATATCATTTTGCCAAGAAATGTCCTAAGTCTAAGAAGGACATAAAGCTCTTCAATCCTTCAAGAGCGTTGTTTATCTTGGTGACAATGAAGAAATTGAATTTGTTCTTGATGAACAATATGAAAAAGATGAGTATGCCC